TCGTTTTGTCATTTTGAGATCACAATTTTTTTTTGTTTGTTCTTAGATGTGCCATTAAAGTTCATGCATCAAAAAATACAAAGTACGTAAAGAATGGTTCTTTTTTTTTATCAATGTTAGGATATATGAAGCTGTCAAAATATTATTCACATTAGAAAAAAAAGAGGTGAAATGGAGCCGAACGGAAAGGGGAAAAATAATAATCAGACTGGATGATTGTGTGTATTTTTTTCCAAAAAACAACTAGTGTTTGTCATCTTGTGAACGTCAATTCGACCACAAGCAAAAAAAAAGGTCATCATCACCGAATTCGGACCTTGTTTTCCAGTGATTTATACGGTAATTTTTTTTCGAACAACGGCAATGACCGATTGTGATTTATGATCAATTAGAGACCGATAAACGATAAGCACACGAACTTGAAAAAAAAGAGTGCTAGAAAATAAAGAAATAGAATAAATCAAGGTCATATGTAGTCAATTTTTCGCTATACTGACCACTTTTTTTTTGGTACAAACCAGATGAAAAATAACTGATGATGATGAGTACAATAATAATCCTTTTGGCTCATTTCAGAAAAAAATGTATAGATATGATTGAAGAGCACTTTGAATTATTGATTGTCGGCTATTTGGTCAATGTAAATCAGGTCAAGCAAATCCTTGTGGTTCTTGTCAAGATGTAACAATGAAAAGACCAATGTATGAATGAATGGTATCATAAATGCCAATTGTAAACTGTATATATGTTCGCACTATCGATGATCACAATTGCCGCGGTAAACAAGACTAATCTTCTCAAAAAAAAGACGATTGTCCATTTATTTTTTCATTTATTTTTTCTATTACTATTACTGACCATTCAATTGTAAAGTGCTTTCCCAAATGCATTAGTTCATTTGCTCATTTGACTGTTTCACAGTGTGAATATATTCCATACAAATGACATCGATACATGTAGATTTTTTTTTCGCTGTTAGATTTAAATAATAAACCCGATTGAATATTGTAACAATATTTTTTCTATATGCAATATGCATACACACCTCATTATTATTGTTGTTGTTCTTAGTTTGGATTTTTCATTGTGTGTATAGTTTTTTTTTGGGGTTAATCTTGAACATTTTTTCAATGAAAAAAAAACCAAAATAAGAGAACATGGATTAACTATGATATCGATAGATCTTGAAAGACATGTTACCCAAGATATAGAAAAAAAAAAGTTGGATAAAATAAAAATGCCTAATACTTGTTGTTGCTCATTTGATTTTTTTTTCTCTAAATTTTTTTTCATCGAAAAAAAAGATAAAAACATTTCCTTTCAATATTTGAAATTAAACCTGAAAGGTGAATCAGTGGAAAAAATTGGATTGTCGTATTGTGTATTTGCTGTGTAAATGCAAAATTGAAATATTTTTTTTATTATAAAAAACAAACCAAAAATAAAAATAAAATAGAAAAATATTTAAATGAATGAATTGTGAAATGAAAAAAAGGCGACAAACCGGATGAGAGCTTCTGAGTGAGTGAAAAGATTGTTGTTTAATCTGATCCATTAAGACAGCAGAAAAACGAACGAGCCTCTCAAGTTGACATCCATAAAAATTGGTTTTTTTCACCAAAAAAAAAATCCACAAAAATACAAAGATGACCTTTCCTTTCTTTTGATTCGAATCGGATCAAATCCAAAATTGAAGACGGACAGGTCGATAACGACGACAACAAAAACAACTAAGGAGAAAAAAATCACGCCAATTTTTAATGTATTGAAAAAAACCAAGTCAGTCACACTGATTTCAATCAGCTAAAAAAAACTTGAAGCTTTCATTTGAAATCAAAAATTTCATTCATTCATTCATCTAAATTTTTTTGGATATATTCAGTGCAACCCTCCCAAAAACAAAACAAAAAACGAAACGATCAATGAATCGTATGTTTGCATCTTTCTCCCGCTCATTTTTTCTCACTCAATTTTTTCCAACCAAATTGGGACAAAATTTTTTGGGTTGAAAATTTTATCTGGTAGATTTTTTTTTTTGAAATGTCTTAATATTTCACGATCACATGAATTTCATTTTAAACAATACCCGATCAAGAGGATATTTGTTTGTTTGTGTGTGTGTGTTTATGGTAATATGGGTCAATGTTCTTTCACATAGAGTTTTCTTTTCCCTTTTCTCTCTCTCTCTCTCTCTCTCTCTTGCGGTTATCTCCGGGTTCGGTGAGCTTATAGAAAATACCAAAAAAAAAGAAGAAAATCTACATTGTTGTTTCATTCATTTTGGGTCCATTCAACTTGATCCAAAACAAAAAATTTTTTTTTTTTTGGAAAAAAATCAGTGCTTCCCTTTTTTTTCTTACAATTTTATCCTTCTTCATATATAATATGTTGGCTTGGATGATTGGAATCCGATAGACTTGAATTATTTTTTATTTTAGTTTTCGATTTCTGAATGAATGAATGAATGATTGTGTGAATGAATGAATGAATGGATAAATGAATGAATGGTGCAAATCTTATTGTCACCAATACCAGTCAACTAGCTGTGACTAGAGTGAATTAAGAACCAACAAGAAGACTACTATTGTTTTCAATTGATCCAAAACCCAAGAAGAAAAAAAAACGACCTGACGAATGGATGAATAAAATCATAGATGTATGGCTTGTATTGGGATTGATTGTTCAAATCGATGAATGAATGAACAAACGAATGCGTTAATGAAGCGTGCAACCAAAGACTGTTTTAGATTATTGTTTTTTTTCTTCGATAGAAAAACCAAAGATGCTTAAGGGGTCAATACCAGCAAAGGATATCTTGGTAGAAGCCCAACCAACCAACTAACAAACAACAAAACAATGATAAAGGTAAGATGTGTTGTTGTTGTGTTGCGGTATCCAATGTTGGCATCACATAATTGGCCCATTCGTAATTTGAACGAAAGGGGGTTAGATTTCATTCAAAAAAAATAGATGTTTTGTTGTTATATAACTTCCTTATCAGGTCATACCTATAGAAAAAAAATGAAAAATTATTTATTTTAATAAATTTTTTTTTGCAAGCCTAATAGTTAAATAGGCAAGTGTCAAAACATAGGACCAAAATTTTAATAAGGTGTTGAAGAAATTTTTTGGAATAAGAAAAAAAAACAAGACCATGTTTCGAAACATCTCAAATGAATTGGAACAATCGAATAGTGGAGGCAACTTTCAGATCGAAAACTACAAGTTTCATATTTTTTTTCATTCATCTGATAAACATTTAATCCAATTGAAATGTCAAATCCTGCAACAATATTTTTGTCTGTCTGTTCGCCTATTTTAGCTAGTTGAAAAAAATCAACACATTGCAATCATTGATGAAATGGGACAATCAATTTTTTCTCCAGAAAAAAAGAAATATGATCTATAATGAAAGGTTGGCCATTGGTGAAAACTATGTCAAAGTTCTATCCTTATCCGATGTACAGATGGACATCAACATAATCCTTTTCAAAGATATTCAAAAAATTGTTAATTGAAGAGACCTTTTACATGGTTGAATCGTGACGTATTTAGATACAAGACAGCCCAAACAGCAGGTGTTGCAATCAGCAATCAAGCATCTTTAATGTTTATCTATATGTATAAAAATTCGTCTAATCAGAATCAATGTATGTATGTACATAAAGCTCGTGCAAAACACGTGCCAACATCTACCATAATAATAATAATATGATGGCCTCATTCGTGTATGTCATTATGATCATCATCATCATAATCATGGTAGTAGTCATCGTCGACGTCGTCAAGAAAAAAAGTTCATACAAGACAAAGATAGATAGATAGATAGATGGATAAATTCGGCAAATTAAGCCAGGTGCTGTCCAGAAAACAGAGCAACAAAATTATTGAAAAACGAAAATTTCATTTATTATCCATCATCATCGTTATCATCATTTTTTTGGTTTTGTTTTTTGTTTAGTTTATTCAATCTGATGTGACATCTAATAATGATTGAATATAAACTGATGTAAATGAGTAGATAAAAATAAAGAATGAAAAAAAAGAGAAGCTACACACTTGTGTAAATAAACGTGAAAATATGAAAAAAAATCCATGGTCCAGTTTTCCTTTTCTCACAACATTTGGGTCAATATGGTTTTTTTTCTGTGGTTCATCATCAATATTATCGATTGATTCATGTATGTTGTGTATTATCATTACGTGTACGATATCGATACATTCATTCCATTCATTCATTCATTAATCATAACGCATAGAGATTTGAAAGTTTTTTGTTGTTGTTTTTTTTATTTTTGTCTAGAAGAAAAAAAACATTAAGTCTATGGACATAAATCATGTTTCGACTGACCAACCAGTCTCAAATCGTGTTCAATCAATACCTGTTGCGTGATTGGGCACTTTTGGGTCATCGATTATTGGACCTTAAGTTTATTTGAAATCACATCATTAATCGTTAGTAACAAACAATGACCATTAGTAATGATCATGACAATGTTGAATCATTATTAGACAATAACATCTTTCCTGTGATTTTTTTTTTGTTGTCGTTGATCGGATATATCTCATTGATTTAAAATATACAAAAAAAAAAGTCAAGTTCATTTAGTTTGGATTGTCTTGTGTATGTTTGTGGACAATAGAACCCAACCAACAAACTTGTATCATCGATGTTTTCTATTGATTCGGACAAACATTTTTTTGGTTATATCGGTTTTGGGACAGTCGGGACTTCCTTCCATCGCCATTAAAGTGCCTGTATCTAACTAACGTTAGAAAAAATATACATCGGTTTCATACAGACACTTTAAACATGTTCATTGATGAGAAAATTTATTCGTTCACTCAGTATATTGAAGTTTTTGGACACACACTCGAAGGCGGAGATTATTAACACACATTCACATAGCAATACATATTGAACACGAAAAAAATCGACAGAGAGAAAGAAAAAAATATGAATAGAGCCAGGTAAATTGGGCAAAATGAAGATTTTTCAAAAACCGAGTTGATCAGTTTGCATTTGGCTTCGTTTGTTGCAGGTCTGGTATTTTTTTTGAAGCTATTCAACTATCGGTAATCGACTTGTTGCATGAAATCATTTCGATTTTGTTCACCAAAAAAAAAGTTCAGTCGTTTTTTAGCCACGGTTCGATATTGTTGAATTGAAATTTTAACTTTGTGTTTTTTTCTAAAACGATATTCACTTTATTGAATGACCAAAATGTCACAAACACTACATTTAAATCATCATGGCGATAATGAATTAATATTAAAATGTCAAAATTCTTCGTCTTCATCGTCTAAATCATCCTCGAAACGATTGAATAGTAAATCATCGATTATGGGACATAATCATAATCATAATCATCATAATCATAATCCATTACCTTCATCAGTTGCAAGACGAAATGAACGAGAAAGAAATCGAGTTAAAATGGTCAATCTTGGATTCGCAACATTAAGACAACATGTACCGAATGGTGTTAAAAATAAAAAAATGAGCAAAGTGGAAACCTTAAGATCGGCAGTAGAATATATAAGAGAATTGCAGAAATTATTAGGTCAAACGGGCGATTCATCATCATCATCGGAATATAGCTTTGATCAGAATAATGAAAATGAATGTTTGCTCAACAGTTTTGATCGGTAAGTTTCTAATTTTTCTTTCTTTTTATGTTCTGTTTTTTTAAAAAATTCACGATTCAAATATAAACAAAAAATTAATTTATTGCAGATATGCATTGCAACTGGTTGATGGAGATGATTCCACATCACCGATTGATGATAGTAACGATGGACAACAAGATGAACATTGTTATCCAATGTCAATGTTGCCTGTAGAATGTTCACCAACTTTGGAACATTCTTCTTCATATGCAGCTACGCCAAATGGATATTCTAACAGTAACAACAGTGACAGTACCAGTTATCATCATCATCATCATCATAATCTAAATAGTCCTAATAAACAGATATCGTCAAATACTACAAATAGTATGACATCGTATCATCATCATGCAAATATTTCATCACCACCATCATCAATTGGTTCATCATCGGATGGTGGTGGAGGATCAATTGGTACTAACGTTCAAACATCATCATTACCATATAATATTTTAGGAGCAAGTTTACGGCAATCCTCGCTAGTGTTGGATTCATCACAAAACCATCATCATCATCAACAACAACAACAACAACATCATCATAATCATCATCATCATCATCAGCAACCTGAACAAACAGAAGATGATGATATGTTTGATTTTGCCAATTGGTTTTAGATTTTGTTGATTTCATTAAATTCGGACACAATCATCCATTCGGGTTATTCGTGCCATTTTGCAAGACAAAAAGAAAAAAATATCCAAATATAGCTAAACAGAAGAATTAAACTAAATGGAAAAAACAAAGATTCTCAACTCTTTAGTCAATCGAATTGCATGAATGGCAACTTGTTCAACTCAAAATCATACACGTACTGATTGCCTTGAAATTATCATCACCCAACTTACACAAACACACACACACATCATTAAAATTGTCGTGTTTGAAGGTCTTGGCATCAGAAAAAAAATTATTGAAGAAATATTTCGAATGAATGTAATTAAAAAAAACCACTATTCCAGCAGCTATAAAAACATGTGGCCATATTTGGTAATCTGAGAAGTTACGAATGAAAAAAGTATATAACTGTTATTTTATTTGGCAATGATGACCATTTTTTCGACAATTTATCATCTCAGTAAATAATCGACCATTCAACTGACTACTAAGATTGTACATGATCGACGATGACATGTCTAACTTTCAAGGTCTATGTCCAAAAAGTATAACCAAAATGAATTGTTATTATGTGTGTATGACAACAATCACCATCATTATTCTCATCATTGAAAGGCAATCAGCAATCTATTGTATCCATTTGGTTTTTTTCTTGGTCAGGCGTCTAAGATTTTGATTTTTTTTCTTTAATCTTGTAAATTCTTATTGTAATTGTAATCTATTTTCATCAATAATTTTTTTCATATTAATTTTTATATTATTATTTTTAATTTGAATGAATCGATTAAAAATCGGTATTAATCATGTAAAAAGTATTTTTTTGGTGGATTTTTTTGAATTAAAAAAAATTATTTTCAAAAAAGGGTTAATGTTATTCGCGAGAGAGGACAATCACCTAACGCGACATATTGGATCGCGTGCATTCAAATTGACTATCAATTTAGTTTGGTTAGGGTTCGGTTCAGTCGGATTGATCAATGGTCAACGGTCAAGGTGACGACCACAAAACACATGTGTGTATTGTAGAGAAAAAAAAGTATATCAAAAAAAGCTTGATACAAGTGATATGAATAGACTACCACCACTGCTACCAAATAGTAAAATTGATGATTTTTGAAGAGAAAAAAAAAATGTTTGGAAGACAGTCAAGTGGTGATGATGGTGTATCACCAACCAACCAAAATTCCAATCAATTCACAATCTGTTTTGAACATTTGTAATGTACCTCTTTTCAACAGTTACACACCAACAACCAAGTCAATATTACCAGCATCAAAAGTAAACTAAACAAAAAAACGTCTCAAATTTCAGTCGAATCCAATTAACATAAGAATAGAATAGGAGAGCGGGTGCACTCCTTTATACACAACCAAACAACCAAACACAAAAACATTTAACAATTCTGGTCTTGGAATATTATTTTTTTTTTTGATGGTAGCAATTAATACCTGTGATCCATGGAAAACAAACACCACCATTATGATCATAATGATTTTGATAAATGTAATGAAAAAAAAGGAGCAATGACATTCATAAAGATGTATGAAAAGAAAAATGTTTCAAATTAACGCCATCAAAATGATGGTGGTACAAATGAGCAGAAGAAAAAAACTGACAAACCAAACCCATGTCTGGTGGATAAGTGCTGTACTCATTTGCTTAATTGGTTTCGGACAATCAGAATATTTAAAAAAAAAAACATTGAAGAACATTGTCCGAATCCAAAAAACAAAACAAAACACAACTAATGACAACAATTACAAAATGGCTAAACAGAGAATGAACAATCACAATTTTGATTAAATACCTGTAATTGTCTTCAAAATCGAAGCAAAAACATTTTCAAAAAAAAATAGATATAAACACAAAAATACATTATCGCTGAGTCAAGCTTTTCACTTTTTTTTCTCTTTTCTCCCTTGTATATTTGATAAATTGATATTTTTTTCCAGCAATTATCAATAGACATGGACCTTCCTCTCTCTTTTTTTTCGCTCTGTTTTTATTCATCAAGCTATGTCAATCAAACAGAAAGGAAAACAATCCTGACTGACCAAAATTGGCCATTCAGAATCCATTCGGAAGAAATTGGCAAAATAAAAAAGAAGACTTTGAAAAAATTGCATTTTTTGTTTTTGTTTATTAACATGGCGAAAAAAAATCTAAGCAGACAAGCGAAACAATTTTAAAATGGGAGTAAGTGTTCATTCTTTTCTTTTTTCTTGGATGTTAGGTCATTTATTTGGTTTGTTTGTCATTATTATCTCATCAACAGAAACATTCAGGTAAAAGGTATCACGATGTGTATTGTGTTGAATACATTGGAATGAAAATTGAAAACTATTCACGGTAGTCGCCCGATACACAAAAAAAAAAATTCAGACGAATTTGTTTTTTTTTCAATTGCGTGCGTGTCACGAAGAATTCGTGATATGCAAATTTGCCAACAATAACAATTGATTTTTTTCTTAGTTAGTTGTTCAAGTTGTTGCTCTTCGAATCAATATTGTAAATTATAGACGAAATAATGATTTAAAAATTGGCTACTGTTGGTAATCGAAAGCGCAAGTCAAAAAAAAAATTCTAATCAAATTATCCATTATAAATTGTTACTATGCCGGATAAGATATAACCGACAATTTTTTTTTGTTTTCATGGGCGTAAAGTCATGAACATACAATAATCGACGAGGATGACCAAAGTCCGAATTATCATTAAAGTTGACCATGAAAATGGAAATTTTATCAATAAACCATGTAATATTGTTCGACCAATGGTCAGTACACACGTGTGCATTTATTTCTCATCATTATGTCTCAGGTAGCATGAACAAATCAATTATCCATTGTATGAAATCAGTCGGCATGTTTTTCTTTGATTTTTTATTACGATTGATACGAAGATGTTCATATTGTTATGTATATGAGTGTTCGAGAAACCAACCCACGCATCAAATGTAGAGGTGTTTTTTTGTTTTGTTCACTGGCTAACCTGACAATTATTATCTATGTCGAAATTTTTATGTTTTTTGATCAAATGCGTTGGCCGTGATAATTATGATAGGTGACCATTAAATTTGACAAGAAATAAATGCAATGGTGATCATAATCATCATCATAATAATAATAGTCACCATAACCTTTGAAAAACGGGTTATCATTTGAATTTCATTCAATTCAATAACAGTGCAGTAGCATTTGGGATATTTGATTATTTATGAAAAATGATTGAATTTCTATCACCAAGTGGACCAAAATCTTTAAAGTCAACAAAGTAGAGGATGATCATCATATCCAACTGACCATATTGTGGCAAAAAAATGAAAAAAGATCAACAGAATGGAGTGTCTATCTATTTGGATAAATAAAAGTAAAAAAAGATGATTGATTGCCGTTCTTCGTTATTGAACGCCCATTCAAAGGTGTCGTAAATGCTTACACTCTTCACTAAAGTCAACAACAAAGGCGAGAAGAGTTTTTTCTTTTTTGATTCTTGCTGGCAGCCACTGATGGTAAATATTTGCTCTAGGTACATATTTTCATCGGTAAATATGGCTCTTTTTTTTGAATGATATACCCATCATTTTTATTTATATTTATCCATCATCATCTTATTGATGATTATCAAAAGAGAAGAAAACTCCATATGGTGAAAATTCTAAAGGATACTAAGGGTCCAAAAGTCAACTAAATTATGATGAACGACGATAGCCACCACCATCACCAATATTTTGGTTGTTGACAAGAGGAAGTTTGCATTTACACACGCATAAACATTCTCAATTTTTTATTTCTTCGGTCTATACTTGACTGAATTCATTCATATATTCAACAAAAAAATATGGGCCATTTTTTCCCTATGTAAATGTGTGTATACGTACGAAATATCCATTCATCAAAAAAAATATTTCCATCTTTTTTGTTGTTGTTGCTTTCTTGCACACTGTTGTTGTCGATTTTTAATTATGGAAAAACAGTCAACAACTGACAATCAAACAATATTTGTGATCACACACAAATCTATCGAAAGACCAAAAAGCTGACCACCAGTGAGTTGTGAGAATAAGGCGAATGACATTTGAATGAATTTGGTCACTCATTCATTGACCATTCACTTATGCGTTCATGTGAATGGGGCATTGACATTCATTCATTCATTCATTTGTCTCTTGTCACATTCGATTTGCATATTTATGATATATAGAACTAGCCAGTGAAAAAAATATTTTTTTCTACAATACTACCCATTCCTGGAAGAACAAGAGTGACCGGACAAGAGGAAAAAATCGGGTCTCTAGATGCATGGATGATTTTTTTCGTTGTTTGAAAATTGAAAACAAAAATCAAAAAGGGATTGCCAAAGCATAGATAAATAAACAAACAAACAAATAAACAAACATCTAAACACACAAGTGAAACGAGATGCTGTATGACATGGGGCCAGCAATATTTGTATGACGACGATTGTACAATTGAATGGATGGATCCCAACGAACAACATTTGGCAGGTATTCATAGCTATTCATTCAGAATTGATAAGTGGCTCAACTGGCTACTGACTTACTTGTTGTTTTTGTTTTTTTTCTCAATGCAGCCTGACAATTTTTGTCTTTTGTCTTTTTTTCATTATATATTGTTATCGTTATGTGTTCGTTTCATTCGGCTCCATTGAAAATAAATAAAAAACAATGTAAAAAAAAGAAAGTGAAACAATAGTTCAAAACTTGGACTTGGAGGCTACACCTTCAATATTATCAATGAAGAAATAAACTTGATCTAAATAAATAAATATAAATCAAGAAGTGTCCAAGTGTCCAAGCGAACCAAATTTCCCATCATAAAAGCGAAATGAAATGAAAAGAAAAGAAAAAAATAGCTATGATCGCCAACATCGTACGGACAATCCCAGCTTGTTTTGTTTTGTTGTTGTTCCCAAATGAAATCGAAATCTAAATTCAAATTGAAATCAAAATCAAAACAACAAACGAAACAAATGAAAGACAATTTTTCATTTCGTTTTTTTTTCGAGTGGATTTTCTTTCCTTTTTTTCTTTTCCTGGTCACATTTTGTCACAACTTATATATAACCGAACTAGTACCACTTATATACACCATTGGTTATCATTCACATCATCAT